CTGGTGATCCATCCGCCTCGGCTTCCCAAAGTGCTGGGATTATAAGCTTGAGCCACTGTGCCCGGCCAATTCTTTTGAGGAGTTTTGCTGCAGAGAAGTGGTTCTCAACTGGGGTAGAGGCAGGGTGGTGACTGTATTCCTAAGGGACATTTGGCAATGTCTGGAGACATCTGAGGTGGGGTGGGTGTTGCTTCCGGCATCGGGTAGATAGATACTAGGGATGCTGCTAAACATTCTTTTATGTATAGGACAGCCCCCCACAGCAAAGTGGAGGAGAAATTTATATTCATGCCAGGCATAGTGGCTCACACCTGTAATCCCAGCTACTTGGGAAGCTGAGGCAGGAGAATCACTTGAACCCGGAGGTGGAGGTTTCGGTGAGCCGAGATTATGCCATGGCACTCCAGCCTGGGTGACAGAGGGAGATTCTGTCAAAAAGAAAAAAAAAATTTTTTTTAAATTCATATATTTAAGTAGCCAGTCCAAAATGTCAAAGTGTCACGAAGGAGGACATGGTTGGCAGCAGGTGGGTGAAAGAGAGGATGTTTGTGTTCTGATGGGAGAAATATCATTTTTATATACAGACGGGAATGAAGGAGAATGTATCACTGGCTAACTGGTAGAAGAAAAGTTGAGACTGGGCGCAGTGGCTCAGGTCTGTAATCCCAGCACTTTGGGAAGCCAAGGTGGGTGGATCACTAGGTCAGGAGTTCAAGACCAGCCTGGCCAATATGGTGAAACTCCATCTCTACTAAAATTACAAAAATTAGTCAGGCATGGTGGCACGTGCCTATAATCCCAGGTACTCAGGAGGATGAGGCAGAAGAATTTCTTGAACCCGGGAGGCAGAGGTTGCAATAAGCTGAGATCACACCGCTGCACTCCAACCTGGGTGGTAGAGTGAGACTCCATCTCAAAAAAAAAAAAAAAATTGATAATTCCTATAAAGAAATAGAGCTAAAACACACCTGTGAAGCCGATAAACTCACACAAAGAAAGTATGAAGCAAAAATATTTATAGAGGAAAATATTAGAGGCACAGGAGGACCTATCTCCTCTGGAAATTTTTTGTTTTTATTTATTTATTTATGTATTTTTTGAGACAGGGTCTCCCTCTGTTGTCCAGGCTGGAGGGCAGTGGCACAATCATACCTCACTGTAGCCTCAACTTCCCAGGCTTGTGATCCCTCCACCTCAGCCTCCCAAGTAGCTGGGACTATAGGCATGCACCACACCAAGCTAATTTAAAAAATTGAGTGTGTGTGTAGAGATGGGGTCTTGCTATGTTGCCCTGGCTGATCTTAAACTCCTGGGCTCAAGCTATCCTCCTGCCTTGGCCTCACAAAGTACTGGATTACAGGTGTGAGCCACTGCGCCCAATTTTTATTTATTTATTTATTTAGAGATGGGTCTCTGTCACCCAGGCTGGAGTGCAGTGGCGAAATCATAGCTCACTGCAGCCTTGACCTCATGGGCTCAGGCGATCCTTCCATCTCTGCCTCCTGAGTACTTGGGACTACAGGTGTGCAGTACCATGCCCAGCTAATCTGGAAGTTTCAAAATATTCATCTTGAAAATCAACTTATCAAAGAGAGGGTAGCTTCTATGGTTAGGTCTCACTAATATGACGTAATTCAGATCATACTGATTTTGTTTTGTTTTGTTTTGTTTTGAGACAAGGTCTGGCTCTATCACCCAGGCTGGAGTGCAGTGGTGCAATCACAGCTCACTGCAACCTCTACCTTCTGGGCTCAAGAGATAATCCCACCTCAGCCTTCCAAGAAGCTGGGAATACAGGTACCTGCCACCACACCTGGCTAATTCTTTTTGGTAGAGATGGGGTTTTGCCATGTTGCCAGGCTGGTCTTGAACTCAGCTCAAGCCGAAACAGGAATTAAAAAAATTAAAAAAAGGTTTAAACAAAAACTCAGTTATATATAAGAAAACCCAGTTCCCCCTGAGGAAGAGAAAGAGCTGTAGTCCTTTAAAATTAACTGCCTGTATTTCTGTGGCTAGTGAGCCTTCTCTCTCCCTTTCCCTGGCATTGTAAAGACTCTGTTTCTCTAGCTGTGCAGCTGCAAGGTCACTAGACAGATAAACTCAAGTTGTAAAACATGTTGTTCCTTAAAAAGTACAAAATAATGTAATGCATGTCTCAATTAAATAACTGTCTTTGTTTCTCGCTTCTGTAATATGCTTCCCCCGGCACAGATCTCTCCACACCCCAGAAAATGCTTAAAAGTTAGCTTGACTCTTGTTCGGGGCCCAGTCCTTTGGATGTTAATCCGACTGGGTTGGTGCACCTAAGTAATTAAATAATTCCTCCTTAACCCCTCAGTCTCTCTAATTCCTTAATTATCCTGCAGCAAAGTGATCCACCCGTCTTGGCCTCCCATAGTGCTGGGATTACACGCATGACCCACCATGCTCGGCCAGATCATACTGATTTCAATAATATTCAAAGGGCATGTATGGTGTTAAACCAACTTGGGATACACAGGAGATATATCCAAGGGGACTAGGCCTCCTCTTCCTCATGGAATCATGTTCAGAAAGGATAATTTTGGAGCTGCAAGACATGTTAGAGGTTATCTTCATTTTATGTGAGGAAACGGAAGTCCTGGGATGGTAATTGGCTGTGAATCGTTAGGTCGGCTGTATAACAGATGCAGAATGACGTGGATACCATGGAGTGTTGGGTCAAATACATTGGAGGAACAATTTATAAATATAAATGTTCTGCTCCACTTAAGTTCATCTCTAAATGTCCAGCAGCCTCCTAAGAATGAAAATCTTTCCCAGCTGCATTAGACATTTTTCTTAGCTCTGTATTTTGTACAAGGGGAAAAGCCTAACACTTATAAATTGCTCTAAGGGAAACATTACTTAACATCCCTTAAGTGTCTCCTGGCAGTGACAGGTTTCCTTTCAGTGGAAAAATAACTTCATGACAAAGAATTCGCCTGAACAACTGGAGAGAATAAATGTTACCAGCATCCCAACCGATTTTCCCTCTTTTCAGTAAAGAGGGTTCTAAGATGTCTAGGTGGGCATTTTTATTTATGAGATAGTCAGAGAAGTAAAAAGACTTAAATAATGGTTTAGGGATAAATCTCAAGGGATTTGTGATAAAATAGCAAATGGGTGACTTTTTAAAAGCACTCTGAAAGCAGGAACTCAGCTTGTATAACCATGTTCATTGCAGCATTCTTCACAGAAGGTGGAAACAATCCAAGTGACCGTGAACAGATGGATAAGCAAAAT